CCCCCGCTCGATAAAAACAACAGCCCCCCCCAGCAGCCCCCCCCAGCAGCCCCCCCTCAGCAGCCCCCCCTCTCCTCTCGGGGTCCTTTGGACGCCGCCTGGGCTCTTTAGATGCGCGGGACGGTAGGAACCCCTCGATTAACATGCACTCGATGCCACCCGCCGTTAATTACAGCCATCCTCCTGCAAATGAAAGTAGAGTAATTAAGCGGGGGGCTCCCCGGGGGGGGGGGCGGCCCCCTCCGGCTGCCTGCGCTTTATTATCCGAGCCTGGAATTAACAGGCGGCGGCGGCGGTGAGGAGCTCTGGAAAGGCTTGTCTGCGGACGGAGCCCGGAAGACGCCCGTCGCCGCTGCGATGGCGCCGGTCAGGCCCCGGTAACGGTGCGGCTGTCGTTTTCAGGGCCGCTCGCTCGTTAGCGGACAGATAAACGAGCCTGGCTTTATTTGCCCACCTGTCGCAGCATCGTGCTCGTTTAAAAAAAAAAGCAGAATTACAGGTTGGAGAGAAAGCTGCTCCCCCTCGGAGCAGAAGCCCGCTCCACCCGTCCTCCCATCCATCCCGCGCATCTGCTGCGTGGAGAACTCCCACTGTTTGACGGCCCCGGGCAGCTTCTGAGGGGCCGGCAGGGAGGAGAGGGCAGGAGGAAGAAGAAGAAGAAAATGAAGAAGAAGAAAAGAAGAAGGAGAAGGGCGGACTGGAGAAGGGAAGGCAAAAGGAGAAGGCGAAAAGAAAAGATTTTTGGATAGAAGAGAAGAGAGCCAAACGCACAGCTATTGATGAGGAGACGCTGGACACATGCAGAATAGAGGTGTTTCATCCCATCGGGGAGTCGATATGTGAGCGAGAAGCAGAGCAATTAAAAGTCTCATCTCATCTAAAGGTGACCCATCCCTCTCCTCTACTCTCTTCTCACACTCTGGCTGGTTGAACTGCTTTTTTTGGTTGTTTTTGTGCGCGTGGAGAACGAAGCTGCTGGGAGCTCCGGCCGGTCCTGCTCAGGATGGACGCCTCTGGACAGCCACTAAGGACTCTGTCCAGGTTCGGACCGGCCTCTGGAGGCCCAGCCACTGAGAGCCACACCAATCTGAGCTGAAGGACAGCGGGATTTTTTTCGTCCAGACCCGGAGGCAGAGCTCCAGCGGCCGATATTGAGCGTCCTACCTTTTGTGTGGTTCCCTGTGGGGTCTAAAAACTGCTTTTAAACCCAGAGGCTGACCAGCACTGCCCCCACTTAGAGCCATGAATGCCACAGTTTGCAGCTCCCGGCCAGACGTGATGCCTTCAGGGTCTCCTGGGACACGACACGCAGGCCCACTGTTTAGAAAACACTCGGGATGGAGAATGGTGTCTGCGGCAGGAAGCCAAGAGCAAATCTTTAGGGCCCCCCAGCTCCAATTTTCAGCCTTTGGTCGTGATTTCACAGCCAATCCATCCGATTGATGTAAGCCGAATCAGAGACCACCAGCCGACGCCCTGGACAGGGGAGAGGCAGACGGCTCACAGAGCCCACTCAATCCATGACGCAGAGAAATCTGCTGCTGGGAAGCAGATTCAGGGCCCAAAATGAGGAAAAATGCTCAGAAATCCCCCCCAGAAAAAAATCTTCTGGGATAGATCTGCTTTAATGGGTGTGAATTCAAACTTTGAGTTAAGGTTTGAGCCATGTCCACATATTTAAGCTCCTTGGTTATTGCTCATAATCGTCTTTCAGTGTTTAATATACAGCAAAATAGGATCAAACTTGAGAGTATAATTGTATTTAAATTCTGCCTTTTTTTCTAATTCTAAATTGAAGTTGAACCGATAGGTGAATAAAATCAGTGGGAAAGCATGGACTGTTTTTACAGGGATCCTGAAGTTTGACTTCATAAACGCACACAAATGATCACAACAATGATGATGTCAATGAGGATTTTTACCCTTTTTCTATTCACCCTTCCATTCATTTTAAACCAATTCAACTGGATATTTTAACCAGGATTTCATTGTCACTCAGACTCTGATCTCTGTAGGAATACCTGAGTTCATGTTGGTTTAGAACCACGGCAGCACAATTATGCAAAATTATTCCAAAGCTGAGATGTAAAGGAGTCTTTTTAAGGTAAAAACAACTTCAAAGGTAAAAAAATCTTTTATTTTTTCACTGCTTAAAGATGCTGAATTTGGAGAATGATATTTGTTTTTAAGGCAGCAGTCGACTAAACGGACCGATCGTTTTAAATCCAACAGATTTGGACCAAACTGGACTCCAAAATAACCAGCAGGGCCCAGTTTTCAGCTTTAATGCTCAGCCCAAAAAGTCTGAACCACTGTGAGTCTGAGGGCTCAGGACCAGACGGGGGCTCACAGATGTTTGGGTATAATAGTAATATAATAGTAGGAATAACTGGATAACTTAATTATGTCATTGAGGATGGTTTAGCTGACAGGATGAACTGATGATATTTGAGTTTTGTTGCAGTTTTCCTACTGAAATGTGTAATTTTTTCTACCAAAATCATTATGGACTGTGGCTTGAATGGGTTTTTTCCTGGAAAAGATGTGTCCCTGAAGGCAGCGGCCTCTTTCTGTGGCCATTTTGTGAGGCTGCTTCCATCATTCAACCTTTTTTGTGGTTATTTTGTGTCTCTTTGTGGTTGTATTTTGTATTTTTGGGATGTTTTTATGTTATTTGTTGATTTATTATGTGTTTCTCCTGTATTCCTGTGTCTTACTTTCTTTTTCTTTTGTCATTCTGCCTCTTTTGGAGATTTTGTTTTCCTGTTTTCTGTCTCTTTGTATCCTCAGCGTCTGGTTTCCACAGTGACCTCTGACCTTTGTGCTTCTCTCAGACGGTCGTCGGAGGGGTCAGAGGTCACGGCGTCCAGCTTTTGTGTTTTACACACAGATTCCTCCTGATTCCTCAAAAAAGCTTTAGTGGTTCTGCTGCAGAGGGTTAAAATGCAGGTTCCTTACAATCTGCTCTTTATGCTTTTTTAAAAAACCCATTAACAAACCCAAACTAACTTTTTTGTCACGTTTTCCAGATTTTAAAAACAGATGGCTGTTCGGGAATTTGAACAAATGAGAGGAAAAAGTTCAATTCAAAAAGATTTTTTTGTCCTATTCCAGTTTTTACCACCGCTTTGCATTTTTTGGGGTCTCGTTAGAGGGAAAACTATGTCCTGGAAGAGGGGGATTTGCCTCAAAATGTGCCTCAGTGCTGCGTTTATAGGGTGTGTATTTATCTGAGAGGGGGATATCCGAAGGCTTCTGCCCACTGGAGGGAATTAACTCCAGGTCCTGTTTATCATTCTGGGAGCCCTTTTTTCCAAACAAACCCAAGCAAAACTCATCCAGATCCATCCAGAGCTCCTTTGACCTCATGCTGCAGCCAAGTCTGCTGAATAAAGAATGAATGAAAACCCACCAAACCTGAAAAACACCACGTATCTGAGAGCTTCTTTGATTTTTCTGTTGCCTATTTCTTCTCCTGTTTATCGATCGGTTGACCTTGTTTCATATGCTGCAGCCATCTCATCAGACGCTGCTGGTTTTGACACTTTGGACAGCTTTTAGGCCTGTTAAGGAGTTTAGCTGCGCCCACATGAGTGGGAAGCCTTTTTCCTAACCTGGTGATCAAAGAGGATGGGAGTTATTTCTTTACCTTAAAGAGGCTGACGGCCCCGTGTGGGCGCCTGGCTTCGGCTGCTTAGCTCTTTAGCTTTGCGCTGTCCACTCTAGGCTTTTTTTGTAGTTGGTTTCTGCTCATTACTGAAGAATTCCTGCGGATAAAAGCTCAGGAAGCGTAAAGAAGCCTTTTGTTTGACGCGTTTTCATGCAGCTGGTGTTCAAAGCCTCAGAATCAGGGATGGGAGACGTCAGGCCGCCGGCTTCCTGAGGCCAGAAAATGCCCTCAGACGGCAGATCTTTTGCATCCGGAGGTTAAAACTCACCTGTTGAGTTGTTTTTCATCCACATGGACATGCTCACACCAGTCCGAGCAGATCAGGACAGCTGATTTTGACTGATTTGTCGATGTCAAACGCGTCCTGATGAGCTACTTTACCGGCTTTTGTTTCTGCTTTTAGCCAAAAAAGGTTCGTTTCAATATAATTTATTGCTTTTATTCGCCATTTCTTCTGTGTTTTTCTCTCTAATGTCTTTGTTTGTTTTTACTGTGGTTAAATTGGGAACTTCTCTCAGCTTATTAAGGAGAGAATATAGACTCAGGCTAAGACAGACACACACCACAAAGTGTTGGATGTATACACTAAAGCACCAGAGGAGGTTTGTCAGCAGGTGTGTGTGCAGTAATGCCGAAGAACAGCAAGAACGCGGGTCGTTTGTTAAGGTTAATGCTCCT